ACTCCACTTAATCTGCTACAGCTGTCCTGACAACCAAAGAAGAAAGTCCTGGCATGACACTGCTCTTTTTGATATTCTGTAACTTAAATACAACATAAAATTGACATATCTGTGTTACATAACAGAATATGGCAGAAAAGAAACTAATGTGTTAAATGGAGCATATATATGACTTGAAATCGATGATCAAGTGCAGAAGGAACACTCACACAGTCAGTCTTTTATTCCTGTAACCAGTCACAGGGCTGTTGCCAGCATTTGCAGCCATCATCCCCCACCGTTACTCTCCACCCCCTTTGCCCTTGGCAAGCACGTCAGCTGGTTGGGGGGGGATCTTTGCTCCTGAGGGGTATGGGTCATCTGTGGTTCTGTGAGTTAGGTTGCTGTTGTTTCCCATGAGCCTTAACTACAGAGCACAAGGACACTGAGACATCCACAGGGACCTGTATTGCAGATGCAGAGTCCTCACTGCCCTGTGGGGTGGCAGCCTGTTTCCCTAAGGTAGCCAGGATCAACCTCCCAGCCAGCCTGGAAGCTCCTGTCTTCACCTGTGGCTATGAGGCACCAGGATTCCAAAAAGCCTCAATGGCCTCTTGCTTTCAGCCATTCACAGCTGCCATGTCTCCTCATAGATATGTGCCTCTCTCCAAAGCTAAGACCTCCGGTAAGAGAGGACAAGGACAGGAAGCACAAGAGTGGTTGTGACAGATGCCATTTCCTTGTCTACCTTTCTTTCCCAGACCTGCATCTTGGCTACAGGAGCAGCAGCTGTGTATACTCATGCTGATGGTGCCCAGAGGAAACCTAGTGCCTCCTGGTGCTGTGCCTGGCCTTCCAAATGCCATCCCACCCTTACCAGGCCAGCCGCTCCAGTGTGGTGGAGCGCATGGTGGGACCAGCCCTACAAGCATGGACCACAGCCAGGCGTCACTGTCTAGGCAGTGTGAACATACTGCATGGTGAGTACAGACGGTTCTGCAGGTGGTTTTAGTGAGTGGTTACAGGGATGGCTCAGAAGCCGCCCAGTGTCCACAGGACAAGGCTCATCCTATTGGCTCCATCATCCGAGTCCCCATCTACTGAGTTCACCCCAGGGAGCATTCATGTGGGATATAAATATCTTTGGGGGTTTTTGCCCACTCAGAGAAGTTTATCTCTTCACCTCTTCAGATTTTTTTAAAAAATGTATTTGGTACAGGGTCTCACTATACAGCTTGGACTTGTAGTGATCTCCATTTTCAGCCTCCCCAGTGCTGAAATTACAGCTATGCACCCCAAACCTGGTCTCCATGGCCAGCTCAGCATGCCCATGGGGCAGGGCCAGTACAGCATGTGGTGCTGAGGATCAAACCCTGGTCCCTGTTCTTGCCTAAGCAGGCGCTTAGTCCTTTGAGTTATCTCGCTGAACCTACCTCTTCAGATTTTGTTTTTCTTTGTATTTAGTATAGGGTCTACAGGGTCTTACTACACTGCGTGGACTTGTGGTGATCCTGCTGTCTTCAGCCTCCCAAGTGCTGAGATTATAGGTGCGCACCACCACGCCCAGTCTCAATCACTGTCTCAGTGTGTACTGGGGTTGGGGCTGGCACAGCACACCAGGAACCGAATCCTGGTCCCTGCGCTCTGCAGGCGCTTTAGTCCACTGAGTTAGCTCTTCAGATTTGTGTCACCACTTTTCCAGTCATGTTCTGAGTACCTCACTGCCTGGCCACACAGCCCATGACTAGGTATACAATTGCACCTCTTGCTACTTCTCGTTCTAAGCAAAACCTCCCAAGGCATATGGCTAAGAGCTGTGGGTATTCCACTAGCAGCGGTCCCCTTCATGACTGTTTCTGTCTTGTCCCAGGAAGGATTGTGGGGCTGTACTCCTCACATGTGGGGCTGCTTACATACTGGGGAGAGCCGTCTTTGAGGCCAGACCAGATGCTTTCTACTTCTGTTGCCTGACTGAGGGAGCTTGCCAGAGCCCATACCCGGGGATGAAACAGAACACTGTAGCAATGGGGGAGCCAAGGGCTTTTACCAAACTAATAGCTCCTGGACCCTCACACCCTGAAGACAAATAGGTGCCCCCAAAATCCAAAGATGGATGTGGTGCCGTACACCTGTGATCCCAGGACTCAGGTGCTGAGAAAGAACCCCTGAGAGTTTGAGGCCAGCCTGGGCTACAAAGTGAGTTCAAGGCCAGCCTGAATTTACATAGCGAGAACCTATCTCAAAAAACAAAACAAATTGAAAGAGGCCTCAAACCTAGAGGCAGAGTGCCCCTGAATTTTGTTGGCCTTATTTGTCTCTCTTTGACATGCTACTGTTCAACCACTAAGTCCAGAGCAGTTGCTACTTCTTAGTCACTGAGGCCAATTAGCACAGCACCATCAAAGCAATGACCCAGTATGATGTCTTTTGGAAGGGAAGGTACACAAGATCCCTGTGAACTAAAGGCTCTGACCCAAGCCATGCCAAAGAAGAGGGCTGTTATGGATGCACTGTGCACTCCAACATATTCTCATGTTGATGTCCTAATACCTAATGGGGCTTTATTTGGAGATGGTGCCTTCGGCAGACAATTGAAGCTACGGCAGACAATTGAAGCTACTGGATGTCATGGGGTGGGGCTCTAACTTACCTCATCCTGAACAGCTCTAGATTTTCCCAGGATGAGAATAGTGAGAAGATGGACAGAAAAGGACGAGTCTGAACACAGAAAAGTGAGGCCATAATGGAGTCCTCTCTCCTAATGGGAGAAGAAAGGGAAGGAAGGAAGGAAAGAAGGGAGGGAGGAAGGAAGAAGGACGATGTGAAGGAAAAGGAGAAGGCATAAGAGATCCTGTGGCTGCAAGAGTTTGAGGAACACAAGCCTAACGCTTACCCACGTGACTTGCCTCAGGCACTCTGTGCTCTTGAGGCTGGAGCAGCTCACTCAGGGGCCTCGCCTCTGGCGATCTGTGCTCTTGAAGCTGGAGCAGCTCACTCAGGGGCCCTGCCTCAGGCGATCTGTGCTCCAGGCTGGAACAACTCAGGTGCCTTGCCTCAGGTGCCTAGTGTTCTTGAGGCTGGAACAGCTTACTCAGATGCCTCCCCTCAGGTGCCCAGTGCTCTTGAGGCTAGAGTAGCTTACACAGGTGCCTCCCCTCAGGTGCTCTGTGCTCTGGAGGCTGGAACAGCTTACTCAGGTGCCTCCCCTCAGGTGCTCTGTGCTCGAGGCTGGAGCAGCTTACTTAGGTGCATTGCCTCAGGTGCCCAGTGTTCTTGAGGCTGGAGCAGCTTACTCAGGTGCCTCCCCTCCGGTGTTCTGTGTTCGAGGATGGAGCAGCTTACTCAGGTGCCTTGCCTCAGGTGCCCAGTGCTCTGGAGGCTGGAACAGCTTATTCAGGTGCTTCGCCTCAGGCGCTCTGTGCTCTTGAGGCTGGAGCAGCTTACTCAGGTGCCTTGCCTCAGGTGCTGTGTTCTTGAGGTTGGCCTTGCTCCTCCCGCACGCCATCCATCTCCTGCCTCAGCCGCTCTCCACAATGACCCACAGAACTGGTGCCCTTATTGAAGAGTAACACCAGTCTTTTCATACATTCATGGCAAAAGTCAAGGATGGGTCCTCACCAGAGACCAGATCTCCAGCAACATGGATGCCCGCCTCCACAACTGTGGAAAAGCACCTGTTATTTTAGGTGCCTTTTGTTGTCTTTTTGTTTTGGCAGCTGCTTCTGCTGACTGATGTTTGTTAACTGGGGTTGAAGGAAAGACATTTACCGGATCAGTAGCTGCATGCCAGGCCTGCAAGAAGTGTTGACTGCCATCTGGAACAGCAGCTGCGTTTGGGGGTGTCTGCCTCCTTAGCTTGCATGCGCTACTCTCCAAGCCCTGTCTTGGCTGATGGAGTGGCAGTGTGGTGTGCTGGGGACCATGAATTATAAACTGAATCTAGGGGACATCCACACTTGCTCTTGTCCTGTCCTTAAACCAGACTGGAACATGGAACTCACCCTCTTTCCTGCTAACAGCTGGAGGGTGGGGAGCTAGCTCAGCTATCTAAGTGCCTGCCTGGCAAACACAAGGTCCCAGGTTTGATCTGCTGGTATCACATGCTGTGCTGCTCCAGAACTGTGGGTGCCCTGCAGGCCGCTGAAACTGGATGTGGTGGCACATGACTGTAATCTCAGCAGTGGGGAGGCTGAGACAGGAGGATCTATGAGTCCAACCTGTAAAAAGACACTGTACCAAATAAATGATAAAAATAAAAAACCAGCTGGAAGCCCTGGAGCAAGACAAAGCCTGCTGCAGACATATAGTCATCTCAGGAAACTAGCTTCCTCACTGCTCCCACCTCATCCTTGTCCTCACAAAAATGCTTTGCTGTTCTTCTAGCTCACTGTTGGAAACACTACTGCCTGTACCTACTGCCCTTGACTCAACCCCTCTTAATACAGATCAGTAAAATACCACGGTTCTGGGTGACTCCTGGCCTTTTGTTCCCTGAGAATTGGTCATCCCAGATCCCTGCTATTTACCTGTCATTTTTGTGTTCTACTTTCTTATCTCTCCCCCTCATGGCTGTAACCAGGGCAGGAGATTGGGATCTCACTGCAGGTATCCCCAAAAACTGGCATCATGCAAGGGTTTTTAATAGTGATGAGCCTCAGTTTCTGCCTTCCTCAGGCCCTCAAGGATAGCACATATCTCTGCAATCTCTCTAGGATGTGTCTCAGTGGGCCAGTGGATAAACCACAGCCTGTCTAGACAAGGGAATGTTATTCAGCACTAAAGGAATTGAATCACTAAGTCTTGAAAAAGACATGGAGAAACACAGAATGTACGTGATGACAGAGCCAGGGTGAAAATGCTATGTACCCAATGATGCCACCTCTGTGATACTCTGGAGACAGTGGCAGCACTGGTGGATGCCAGGCATCTGGGGAGAGGGCTTAATAGGAGCCAGGGAATTTGCAGAGCAGTAAAACTGAAGTAAGATGTGAGAAATAAATGAAGAAAGGAGACAAGGAAAGTCAATGTTTTTGATTTCCCTTATTATCTTTCAAATTCGGGGCAGATTCTTGCTCAGTTCTGCACATGGACATTCCTCTGGGAGTCTGCAGTGCAAGGCTAAGCACCCTGACATTCACCTCATCAATCTTGTCCTCCTGCAAAACTGCAGACACCAAGGCCAGAGAAACGCTGACAAAAATGCTCACTCGCCAGCCTTCACAAGTCTGTAGTTCTGGACTTCCGGGGTGATGCTCAGATGTCTGCAAGAATAAACTCACTGTGTAGTCCACCCCACGGCAAGGTCCCCTCCCACAAGCAGGAGCCATTATCCCATGACAGGAACCAAGGCAGCCCCCTCCTGAACAAGGATACAAGTCTCGCGGAACTGAGGGCAGCCGAGGAGGACAACCAAGAAGTAGAAGGAAGGTAGCTGAGGAGAAGGACAGCCGAGGGAGGAGGGTGGCTGAGGAGGGAGAAGAGGAAGGGGAGGAGGGAAAAAGGGAGGAGGGGCAGGAGGACGGTGGCTGGAGAGGAAGGCACAGCTACGTGCGTCTTCTCCAAGCGAACACCCCACGGCTCTCTGCCCGTCCTTCTCCTTCGCAGGGCCCCTCCTCCGCTACCCCCTGTGCTGCACTCCTGAAGTTGCCCTGCTCCTTGGCCAACCTTCCCTGCAGGTCCAACCCTCGTCTTCCTCTCCACCGCGGCCAGTTTTGTTCTCACCCACCCTTCTCCTCAGCAGCACCCTTACTAGTGGCCCTGCTCCTCGGACACCCCACCTCCTTTCTCTTTCATCTCTTTCCTCCTCTGCAGTCCTCCTCCTTAGCCCCTTCTCGCTCCAGCGTCCTCCTCGGTGGTCCTTCTGCTCCTTAGCACCCTCAGTGTCCTCCGCTGACTTCTCCCGCGCGGTCCTCTTCTCTCTCCAGGTCTCTCCTCCTCCCAATCTGGCCCTTTTCCTTCGCGGTTCTCCTGGGTTCTGGCCCCACACGCAGTCAGGTCGACCGGTAGACGGCGCCATTAACCTTCCCAGTCCTGTAGTGACTCGTCCCGCGAGTCAGGACGTGGGGTGATTACCTGGAGGAACGGGGATGAACAGACACGAGACACGAAGACAAGGCAGGCTTTCCCACCAAGTCTCTCCTCTAGGAAGTGAGCGGGATCTAAATAGCCGCGTAGCGGAAGTAGTTGGGCGGGACTACTGCTGATTGGTAGTGGAGGAGGTCTAGGACCACAGGAAGAGGCCGAGGCAAGCAGGGATTGGTGCTGCGCACTTCTTGCCCAAATTAGGGAAAGTGTAAGGGGAGCGTTCTATCGCCCCCCACACTGTAGGCTCTGCTTTCTCAACGAGATTACAGACTTTTCATCGCCGCGCCTGGCGCTTCCCTTGAGAAGCGCGCAGGCGCAGAGCAGGGCGACGGCGGGCAGGGCGGGGCGAGACGAGGGGCGGGGCCAGGGGTCTGGACCCAAGGAGTCGGGGGTAGGGCGGGCGAGGGAGGCAGGTAGGGAGCTGAGGGGCAGGGCGAGCAAGGGGCCACGGCCAGCAGCGGGGCGGGCCCAGGCGTGAGGAGGGGGCGGGGTAAGGCACGCAAGGCGGGGGCGGGGCGAGCAAGGGGACGCGGCCGGCTGAGGGGCGGGCTCAGGCGTGATGAGGGTGCGGGGCAAGGCACGCAGGGGCGGGCCCAGGCGTGAGGAAGGGGCGGGGCGAGCAAGGGGACGAGGAGGCCGTGGGGCGGGCCCAGGCGAGACGAGGGGGCGGGGCAAGGCACGCAGGGGCGGGCCCAGGCGTGACGAGGGCGGGGCGGGGTCTGCGAGGCGGTAGCTGCGGGCTCTGGGGAGAATCGCGGCGTGGCGCGGCGCGGCGCGGCGCGACGCGACGCGGCTGGCGTCGGGCAGTGAAGGGCTCTGCGCAGCCATGTTCGTGGCGCGCAGCATCGCGGCGGACCACAAGGATCTCATCCACGATGTCTCCTTCGACTTCCACGGGCGGCGCATGGCCACCTGCTCCAGCGACCAGAGCGTGAAGGTGCGGCGGCGTCTGCGGGAGGCCGAAGTGGGAAGCGGGAGGCGACCGCGCAAACGGGGCGCGTCGGACGGACTTGAGCGCGCGCTGCAGCCGGAGTCCGGGAGTCCAGGCAGGCGCGCAGTCCGGACCCCCGCCCCACCCCGCCGAGGGACCTCCGCCCGGCGCCCATTGTGGGGTCACGGGCGCAGGGCCGTGCTCCACGCCTGCGCCGTGCGGAAGAGCCCTGCGCTGCGGCCGGGGCGTGCGCCTGCGCGGCCTGGTGGCGCGGGCCGCACCTTGGGTGGGTGCTTCTTAACCCGGGCGTCGCCGCCCCCCGCGCTGCCCCTTCCCTGTGCCTGTCACCCGGGCTCAGGTTTCCCGTCTGCGGCCCGGGGAATGCGTGCTTCTGTAGGGCCTGTGACGCCTGACCCGCCTGTGAGGCTGGGGGAGCCCTCCGAGGGGTCCCGGGCAGACCTCGGCTCTCCTGAGGAAGTCTGCAGGGCGCATCGTTTGTGTTCCGGGAAACTCTGAAGTAACGTCTGAAGACAGTTTTTCATTCCTTCCCTCAAGTTTGTTACTAATGCTGTCTTGATAGCAGAAGGTTTTTGTTGAAGTCGTAGCGCCGCGCACCGTAGAGTTCAGTGGAGGTCAGTGTCTGTTAAGGACGTCTTCGTGTGGCTCGGTGCAGAGCTGCTCCGTTGGCTCTCTATTGCGCAGCCACGCCTGGGCGAATTGTCCAGTGGCGGCTCCGCACCGCTTTCCTCTAGCTTTGCTGAATTTGCATATTCTGGGTACCTCCTAGTCATGAATTGTGGGATGTTTGTCCTTTGTGGCTGATTTATTTCAGTTTGTATTGTCGGTGTGCATCCGTTTAGTAGCATACATCAGAACACCATTTCTTCTTTCAAATTTTTAAAAAGTTTTTTATTTATTTGGTACAGGATCTCACTATGCAGCTCAGACTTGTAGTGATCCTCCTATCTGAGCCGCCCCAGCGCTGGGATTATAGGCATGTGCCACCATGCCCGGTTTCTGTGGCTGGCTGTGTACCCGACGTTGGCATGACAAGGTACCGGGGATGGAACCCGGGTGCTTTGGTGTTGCCAGGGAGCTGCTTAGACTGCCAAGCCATCTCCCCAGCCCTCCATTTCTTTTTAAAGCCCACTAATATTTTGTGTTGAGCACATTGTTTATCTGTTCATCTCTTTTTGACTATTTGTGAAAATGTCTGCAGTGAACACTAGTGTACAAATATCTTAGACTCTCATATATATTGTTCTCTTACGTAGTTTTCATAAATTGGGTATAAAAGTAGTCTGTTGATAAAGGAGCTCATACTCTATATGAGAACTTGAGATAAACTGGTCCTATAAAAGGTTGTAGAATTTATTATTTTAGTGAAAATAATAAATTTTAGGTGTTTATATTTCGTTTTTAGTTTTTCATTATTTTGTGGTCTTTCTCTTTTAAAAAGAGAGGTTACTTGTAGTTTTATTGTTGTCCTGTCATTGTTAGTATTTGTTGATATACTCTGTTCTTTTGCTTTTAATGTTTTAAGTAATTATGGCTGTTTATCCATATACATAAACTTTGCAATCAGAATTATTTTTTCTCCCACTGTTGCTGCATTGATTTGGTCATTATCATTCTGAAGGGATGATAATGTCTTTTAACATAATGATAGTTAACGTCTTTTAGCTAAGCAGGCTATGTGCATTTTTCTTATTTTTTATTGAGAAATATGAATGAGATAGTTTCACAGCTGATTAATAGGACAGTTTTGATAATCAATACATTGTGCATTGTTATCTTCTTAGTGGTTATCCATAGTACAAGAATTAGACAGGATATTCTGTCCAAACACTGTTAGTACACCTCTTCTTGTTGAATTAAGCGAAAGTAGCTGTAAATTTGTCCTATTTTGTATATATAAATACAAAATGATCTTTCCTTTGTATCTTTTTTTTTTTTTTTTTGTCCTGTCAGAGGTGAATATTCTGTTGGCATTTAAATACTCTAGGTGTTTGAATTCAACTAAATAAGCTAACACTGTCTAGCAGTCTATAATATTAGTGGGTTAGCCTCAGAAGTTATTGACTCGAGCCTGTTACAGCTCATCGTATTAACATGGATTTACTTTATATACCTCGTTTTTATACTTTTCTGCTGGATGGTTAAGACCAAGATAAAGCAAGACCTATATACCAAGAAATGTAACTTTTGTATCTGATAAGGTCAGCCAAGTACTGTCAGGATTTATCCTGTAGCCCTGTACTGCCCTTTGTACATCTTTTTGTCAGTGTCTGACATGAGGATGAGTCACGGCCATTGCTTGACCAATTTGCTCTTTGTGAAAACTTGAGTGCATTTTTCTTTGAGACAGGGTCGCACCAAGTTATCCAGGCTAACCTTGAGTTTGCAGCTCTCCTGTCTCCTAAGTAGGTGGATTACAGACATCTGTCCTCTACCAGGAATTGGAAAATTGATGATTTTTGTTTTGGATTTTTTTTTTTGGCAGTGCTAGAGATACCTACATGTTAGGCCAGTGCTATGAACATCTGCTGGTGTTCGCTAAGCACAGGAGAGCTGTGATTGACTCGTATATTCGTGTCTCTCCTGCAGGTAACCAACAATACGTAATAGATAAGGTTCATTTAAACATAAAGCAATGCAGTGAACTCTTTGGTTTATGAAAATGTTAGAAACTGGGCCTCACTGAGCCCAACCCTCCTGTCTGTCCTATTTCAGTTGTCAAGGTAACTTGATAAAATGCCACTATCAATAATGAGAGTTGAGAGACTATGGGTATGGTTCAGTGCTTGCTTAAGTGTATGTAAGGCTGTGGGTTTGATCCCCAGTACTGTGGGGAAAAATACTAGAAAATTGACTGTGGCTACAAATGTCTTTGTTACTTGTCTGAGCTTGAATTCTTGGATCTCTCATTTCCTGGCCGGTGTCTGACACATTTAAGGATCTAAATAAATATTTGATTGAATGAATATATATTTCCTTAGGGTTGTATTACTTTGTGAATTTTATCTTTTCCTCTTTGCTTTTGTATGATTCAGTCTTTTTTTTTTTTTTTTTTTCTCTCAATTTGT